CAGTGATTCATTTTATAAGCTCATTTTCAATATGTGAGAATTTTAGATATACATCTGTATTTAACTTTTAAATATAAGAAGTCACGTTAATAAACTTTTTCTTATTATTAATCCAATCATGAAGCTTAAGATTACTTGTCTAAACTCATTTTAGATTTGGCTAAACATCTAAACCTTTAGTTTCGCTAAATTTTTACTAAGTATTTAATATAGCTTTGCCATTTTTATAAGCTTTGATATAGTTTTACCTTTACAATTTAGACGTTTATCTAAACTTTAGATTTCATCTAGTAACCTTAACGAAGCTGTTTTAATATTATTTGTAATTGACTTTTTACTATAACCTTTTTTATGGTAAGTTATTATCATTAACTTTTTTCTTGCAGACTATTGCCTTTTCTTTTTTTTATTCTCTCACACGTTTAGCCTTAAGTTTATTATTAAAGCAAAAAATAAAATAAAAAAATAAAAAACAAAATCCTCAAAGATATGAAAAAATATAAAAAATATACAGTAATGCTACACATTATTTCATTATTTATATTACAGCTTTAAAATTACCATATTGATTAGGGATAAAGAATTATCAAATAAGAGCGCTGACATATATTAGCTAATATAATTTTAATATAAGCATCTATCACCTCACTCTCAGGTAATATGATCATGTACTGCCGATCATTTACATTTTTAGATTTATAAGTTAAAAGTAAATCAAAGAAACATAAATGATAAAAAAAAATTTCAATTTGTAAAAATTTTTAAATTTAATCTTTATTTATTTCAAATAAAACATTAAAAAAATTCAAGCAACTTATTTTTATAAAATTTGAAATATTAGTTTCTTTAAATATATAAAAAAAGCTTTGATCATCCATATGCTACAGGATGTTGCAGGATGCTGCGGAAGACTTTATTTCACAATTTTTACTCGAATTAGTATAATTAAATTTGAATTGAAGCTAATTAGTTCTAAGATCTACTTAATAATACCATAATTTGAATCAAACCCTATTTCGTGTATTTTCTTTAAATTGACTTGCTGCAGAACTTTTACACGTTGTATTCAGCTTTCTATTTCGTATCTATAAAAGACTTTTTACATAAAATACATTAATCTTTTATTTCAAATATTAAGTATGAGTTGACAAATCTTTTTATTTAGTCCTAAGTTTAATAAAAAGCCAATATATAACTCGCTAACAAATAAATATTAGGAGTTTTCCAATACTTATATATATAGTCTTATGGTAAAGACAGGAAATGGTACCCTGGATCGTACTGTTGTTTACTGTGAAGCATCATAAGAATGGAATAAATTAAAAGCAAAGGTGTAGCAGAAATTGATGATATAATCAGAAAATACTTGACCACTCAATTTAATCTATATAACATACAAACAATGAGATCAAGATATCCTCCTATGCCTAGAGAAAAACCAACACTTCCTCTTTCTACTATTCATTCAGTAAAACCTATATCAGAAATCCCTATTAATGCAACAGCTCAATAAAAGGTGGCAAGTAAAATAACAGTAGCTGAAAAAAACTTATTAAATCTGAACAAATATACAATATTACAACTGATTCTCAACTACGTCATGATATGTATGAGAAAATAGTAAACCTTTAAGCTCAAATTAAATCAAATTAGGACAGGATTCTCAGATTAAAAAGGAATACAAAATACGTTCAAAATTGTAAAGAAAAAAAACAGAAAATACTTGCTGAAAATCAGGAGGTTATACAATATGATAAACCCAGTCATCCATCCCTTTTTTTCAAATATCGACTATATTCATGATTCGATCGAGTTCGGTTCAGCTAATAAGAAATGATGAAGAGAAGTGGTGAAAGTTCAGGTCATCAAAAATTTGCGTAAAAATCTTGAGGAGAAATATAATGTTTATATGGTGTGAACAACATTAAATAATTATCTGTTGCTATACCAATCCAATTCTATTGTTATGAGAGCTTATCATTATCCAGTATGAATTGCTGTAGCTGGAGTTTCACAAATAGAGACACGTGATCATGCTGATGGTCATTATTGCCTTGCATCTGTTAAATATGCAAGGCAAGTTGCAACTGTCTTTGCTGATATGTCAGTTGTCATCTTTCAAGATGACAAGGCAAAAATAGGTCTTAAGGTACCTGCTGTAGGCCGGACCTTTTAAATATTGCAGTTAGTTTATAAGCCTATTCGTGTGGCTGATCACGATTTTCCAGTAGGATATGAGCAAAGTTAGTTCTATCGGTTTATCTTATAATCAAATTGAATGATTCAAATGATGAACTACGAACAGGCCAACTTGTTATTTTTGTACGATGCTAATAGTCTTTTGGTATATCCTCTCTCACACATATGTAAGACCTTAAAAACTCTTTTAAAATACCCAATATGATGATGTGTTAAAGACCAACGGAGAAATTCGATAAATCTGGGTTTTATTAGTAGATGGAGAACCAGATGAGAATCTGAGACATTTAAAAAATATCAAAACATATTGTCATCTTTTCAAAAATTTAATTTGGATTACCTGACTGTACGGACACATGCTCCAGGGCAATCCAAATATAATCTGGTCGAAAACTGTATGGCGATGCTATTCGGCAAGCTAGCAGGTATCATATTACTAATTGATCACTTTGAAAAGCATTTAAATACGCAAGATAATGTGATTGATTCAGAGTTAGCTCTTCGAAATTATCAATACGCTGGAGAAGCTCTTTGTGATATTTGGCATTGTGATTTGATGTTTGGAAAAATGTAGATGCTTGGTATGTTGAAGAATTCATCAATCCATTTGAAAACCTACAATTTGAGGGTATAGAAAAAGAAAAGATAGAAGAACGAAAAAGACAAGAAAAACAAAAAGAGAAACAACAAAAAGAAAATGAAAATGACTTAGCTGATTGCTTTGTATTATGGTCATAGATTGAAAACTATTGTAATCTATGCCAGTATTCGCTCAATATTAAACGATGTATGAATACAAGCTATTGTGGTTCACCTCATGTAAAAGAAGCCATGGAATTCCTTCGATCAAACAATGGCTTTTTACCTTCTATCACCAAAGCCAAAGACGGATATTTTACTAATCCAATACACCTTCTTGAATATTATGATCTCTTGAAAATTCCTGACTACAATTTCCATTGCCTATCTCTTGGTAAAACAATATATTTGTATCTTTGTTGTTCTGAATGTAATAAATATTTTCCAACGCTTACTTTTCTGACAAATCACAAGCAAACAGTACATCTTACCAAGCGTGAACGACCCAAAGGAAAAGGTAAAGGCCAAAATTCCTCAACTTTTGATGATTTCTCTGTTCTCCCATCACAACAACAAGAAAAAATACTGTTTTTTGAAGAAATGCATTCGAGAGAATGCATATCAGATCAAGATTGATGATTGATAAGATCAGTTTGCATAATGTATATTTGATACAGCGATAGTATTAATAAAAATTTTTTAAATAAGATACTAAGCCATTATTATCACGTGATTTATAAGTTATGTATAACCTAAGATTCTCTGCTACCTCACCTCCTAAAATATTAGCTAATATATGTCAGCGTCCTAATCAATGAAATTATTAAATTTAAAAATAGCAATATAAATTATTGTAAATAAGATGATTTTTATTGATGTAAAATTAAGATTATAGAAATCACAAATATTATTTATAGCTTTAATATTAAAATGAACCAAAATATAATAAAATTAAAAAATTAATGTTAAACATTTTTCTAAATATATTTTATCTAGAATATATTATACTATTCTGTATATTTTAATTTATTAATTAATCTTTTTCTATTATTTTGTAGAAAATTAATTAAAAATAAATAAAAATATATATTATTAATTTAAAGAGTTAATCTTTCTGAAATATCTATAAAATATGAAATTCTTAAAATTAGAATTCTGCAAAAATATCTGGTTTGTATCACAGATAATATTAACAAAAGAAATAAAAGATTTAATAAAAATATATAAAAGATTGTCATATGAGAGATAAAGAGAATTCTCTTATGTTAATAATATCAATAAATAATAAGTAATAAAATGATAAAAAGTTATATTATATTTATATATTAAGCTAATCAAAAGTCAGATTCTTTAGTTAATATAATTTATTATATAAATATCAAAAAAAAAATAAAAAAAATATCAGCTTTTTTTATAAATTAAAGTTAAGTACAGTTAATTTTCCATAAATGCATCCTCTATAAATGCATATCCTTTATAAATGCACTTTTTTGCTTGGTCTCAAGCTGGAACTTAAATGATAAATACATGTTTTATATATACTTTACTCTGGAAATGCACACTTTGATAAAAATTTTTATAATAGTTACTTATAAAATTTTTTGTATTACCTTAATTTTATATTAATGCTATATAAATTTATCTATATCTATAAATGCATATCCTCTCTAAATGCATACTTGTGTTTAATTCTAAGGAGGTGCATTTATAAAGAGTTAATTGTAGAATTTTAGTATTTCTTTTATATGCTAAAAAAAAAAGAATTTTTTTATAATTTATTTTTAAAAGAATATAATAATTGATTTTTGTATATATTATTTTTACTATTTGAAAAATATAAATTTTAAAATAAAATTTATATTAAAAAAATTTTTTTTTAATTATACTAATAATCAATTTTATTATTTATAATTAATTAACAAAAATAGTTGTATTATAGTTTAAAGTATTATTTAATTTAACCTTTTTTTTTTTATAATGTAAATTTTTAAATAAATGTTTGATTTATCTTTAGTTTCACTGCAATCATTTTAAATTATTCTACTTTTAATATTTTTAATATATTATTAATTAATAATTTATTCTTGTTTACTTGATGTTTTCTTATAAAGTATTATCACATTTTTTATATATTCTTTTTCTTGTAAATACCTAAAAAATGATAAATAGTTATAGTTAACTATGGAAAAAATAAAAAGACGAATTATTAACGAAATAAATAATTACGTTATTCCAGCAACAAAAATGGCACAAACACCTCCAACTGCAATATGTATAATCTTTGCATTCAAGGTTTCCCAACCGATAAATTGATTAGAAAAATAAGTTATAATCCATACCAAACTAAATGATATTAATACCAAAGGTTTAGGTAAAATATTTGATATAGCTAACATTCTTTTCAATTCATCTATCTCCTGTTTATTACCACCACGATTTTTTAAATAATATGATTTAATATAATTCCAACTCCATAAAATACGTGTTGATAAATTAAACATATTAGCTGCAATTAATCCAACAGCACCGGCAGATAATCCTTTCATAAATATGATACCAGTTCCAACAAATCCTGCTGAAAATGTAATCAACCAGTAATTTAACGCACTTAAAGTTTCTTCAGTTGCAACAGCTACTACAAATGCTTCAGTTATTCCATTAATGCCCATAATTGGAACATATATACAATAAAAAGATAATGCAAATGGTGCAAGTGATTTTGACCATACAGGACCTACAAGTAAGTCAATTAAGGTTCCTGTATAATTTGTTGCCAATCCAATAAAGAGAAGTCCAAGTAATAGATGAAATTTCATCATTATTATTAGAACTTGTAAAGATGTTGTTAATGCTATTTTACGAGCTGCAGCTTTTGATTCTCTTTTTTCAACATTGTCATCAATAACATTAGGATTGTCAACACTCGTTAAGAGTTTGGAGAATAGTGTACGACCAGTTTCTTCCAATGGTTGAAATAATATTCGTACAATCAAAGATCCTAAACATAAATAAAATAATTTGAATACTTTTTTCTTAAAACAAAATAAAAAAAGTTTGCAATTGAAATATATTTTATTTTTTTTTTACTTGCCGTAATTAACAACAAATGCATAAATTCCTTGGTCAACTGGCTCACTTAGCCACGAAATTAACATTTTATCACCTTCCGTTAACACATGCTTCAACAAAGATTGTTTTGTAAATGTTTTTGCCAAACCAAATAAATGTTCATCAAACCAGAATACCCTTTGCCTTTATATATTAAATAAATTATTAGTAAAAAGGTTAAAATAAGCTTTAAAAAGCAAATCGTAAAGGAATTAATAATCACCTTTCATCTATTAATTTTCTTGGTTTTAATAATTGAATATCCCAATTTGAAATAAAATACCCAACATAACCTAACAGCAAAACCGACATAAAAGCAAACTGTGCAACTGCAAATGCCAAGATTCCATAGGCATTCTTTCCTTTTTCATTATTTTTAGGAATTCCCATTAGTGTCATTGTGAGTGTGATAACGCAACGAACAACAACTCCAATCATTTCACAACGTACTCTAAGAATGAAAATCAGATTGTTCATTGTTGCAATATACAATGGTTCAATGATCAATTCGCCAAATGCTGCTAAACCATATAATACTACAGAAGAAACATAATATGGTGTGGCTAATGATTCCTCATTTGCGTAAAAGATATAAAAAACGCAAGCAAGAAAAGTTGTGATGATTCCGATTGGTATTGGTACATATGATAAATTTGTTATTTTTTGAATAGATCCAACAGGAGAATTAGCAAATATTATCGAATCCTTTGATTTTCCTTGTGAATTTTCATCATGATCAACTTTACTGATATCACCACATCCTCTTAATAAAGCACATCGAAATCCTTCACGAGATAAAAACAAGATTGTTGCTAATAATAATTCTAATTGTACTGATGCAATTCCAAATGTTGCAGGGTCTGTATAACGCAAAACAATTTGATGCAAAACAAAAGTAGCCAATCTACTAATAAGTTGTAAAATAACAAGTGATGAAGCTCCCGCTACAGATGATGATAAGATTTTAGATACATCTTCTTGTGAATCAGATTGTGATTTATTTTCATTAGAATTTTCTTCGACATTTCTACTCTTGATGGTTGACATTTTTTTTTTTTTTTAAAAAAAAAAACTCTTTTAAAGCCAAATTTCGAACTTTTAAAACAATTTTGATCCCGATTGCGCAGAATTACGTAATAATTCCGTATCACAAAACTTTTCGGAAAAATTTGTTCGTCAGTATGAAGTCATGATGTCAAATGCACATTTATATAATGTATGTCTAAAATGATCATGTGCCAATAATGTTTTGTATGACAAGGTAGACGATCGAAACTCAAAATGTTATACACGAAATTAAAGTTTTTTTTGACTCTTAACCTAATTTATCTTTGCAAAATGTAACTTTGTCACAAGGTATCTCCTTATTATTAATTATTTTCTGAATTATCAAAACCAATAAATTTTATAAAAGAACAAAATTCAATTTATTAAACATATACTAGTTATCGAAAACATGTCTAATTCAATACACTTATTTTTATTATTGTGTTTGATCATTATCAACGTTAATTCTTATAGAATTATTACATACGAAGATGAGACGGATGCGGCTGTTATTTCTAGAACTCTTGTAAAAGAATTTGGTGTTGGCACTTTGGTTACTATCATGAATGATCACGAAGATGATGATGTTCGAGGTATGTTAAAAATAAACAACAAATCTAAATAAAATCTTCCTTAATCTGAATATATATATTTTAATTTATAAAGGATATCCTTTTGGATTATTGGATTATTTCTCTGATGATTGTCCTTCAACGGGAAATCCATTACTTCTTTTAAGTGACTATCAGGTAAAAAATATTTTTTGATACAGGCAAATAGGAAAATCATGTTAAAATAACGTGTTATAATTTTTAGAAAAATATTAAAAATGCAAGATCAAATGAATGGAAAGCTTCCTTAATGATTCGTAAACTAAGCAAGGACGATACTTTTTTTCCCGTTGCTGAACCAAGAATTAATTTATTTGGTCATTTGGAAAGAGTACCTGATGATGAAGTATATATCTTTGACTCCCAATATTTCTTATTAATTCTACAAAAAATTTTAAATGAAATCTTTGTTTATAGGTTGCAGATGCACAAAAATGCTTCTTAGCTAAGCATCCAAGAGCCCGTTTTTGGTAAATATTCATTTTGCTTTTTGGCTTTGACTTTCCAATTTTAAGTAAAAGATTTTATTTGTTATATTTTAGGATCCCTGGCGTAGGTCACGAATTCTATTTCTATAGATTTATTGTTCACAATATTTATTTTGTTGGTGGATTTGGTAATAAACATTATATCGGTTATATTAATAATGAATTATATCACAAAGTTAAACCTCAAAGCACTCATCGTTGTGGTAGAATACTTGAGAAAGACTATAGTTTGGTGAATTTGCAATATTATTAAAATAGTTGCTTCGATTTATATATTTATTTCCATTATATTATATCGTCACATGATTTAATTCCGGTCGAGAATTTTTTGCCGATCAAATTTATATATATAAGTTCAAAATAATAATAAAAATTTTAAAAATTTTAAAAAAATTTCTTTTCGTCCAAGTAATCCAAAAAAATTGCTCTCCGTTCTATTTTATGATATTATTACTTACCAACAAAGTTTAACTTATTCAATCCTTTGTTCCTTATTTATATCTAATTGTTCAAGTAATTTCCATTTGACGCGAAGGAAATGCGTTTTACGTGTTAATTTCATTTATCTACTTTTTTTTTTTTTTTTTTTTGAAAACAACTTTAAAAATGATTGACGAGATTATTGTATACTGTTTGGAGGAAATTGCAATGGAAGGAGGTCCGTAAAGGTTTATTTACTTTAAAATTATTAATTATTTTCATAATAATTTATTATTTCTTATTTCTTTATCGGAAAAAGGCTGTGAAATCGATTATTTATGGGTATTTGTACAAGATTTTCTTAATAAACGGTGTAAAGAATTGGTGGCGTTCGATGAACCAGAGATAATAAAACCAACGATTGATGATGCATATAAAGAGTTCTTTTGGACACAATTCTCAACTAGTGAGCAATTGTTATTTTGTATACAAAAAAAAGTTACGTTGGAGCAAAATTTAGAGACTCCGAAAAAAGGGAAAAAGAATGCGGCAACAGCATCTAAACCAGTAATTAGTTTGATCAAAATCTTCATTTATTATATTGCATATATGATCGTGATGAAATTTATCATTTTAATATATGAATAGACTGAAGAAGAATATCAGACTGTCAAAATTGAAAACATGTCTCTTCAAGAAATTAAAATAAAATATGGTGATGCATTTCGTATAATGACGACCGAGAAATTCCAAAAAGAAATACTTTTTGCAACAGTTGACGTATGTATATAGAATAATTCTTAGTATTATATGCTCATTGTATATTTGACAACTTTTATAATTTTATAGACATCTCGCTCACTTTCTAATCAAGTTTGGAAGACATTGCAGTACATAGCACGACATCGTTCTTTGGGCGCTACGCAAGTAGATATGGCGAGACACTTTAATATCGAACCAAAATCTTTCTCCCATTATTTAAAAACTCTTTGTAACTTAAAATTAATGTAGGAGGTTTCGTTGTAATTGTTTTTATTATTTTAAAATTAATTTAAATATAATATTATTTTTGTAGAGTAAAATTAAAGGTTACTCAGAATGGGATACAGACAAATTTGTGCATCTTATCTAGATGCGCTGCTCAAAATAAAGCGTATGTCGGACAATCTGTATACATACCCACAGCATCTAACCTACAATCTGACGACCAAGACTTTACGGATACAATTGGTGGCGACGTTTCCTTCAACTCCGAATTGGTGAAGATCAGATTGACCGAGATTCTTAGTAAAGCTAAGAATCAGATTATGTCTGCAAACGATATAAGGATGGCTTTAGTAAGTTATAGATTGTTAAATTACTACGATTATATATTATGACCATATTTAACATTCAATTTTTATCTAGTTTGCAATATCCAATCCAACAAAGAATCAACGACGTTGGTTTAATAACAGGCTTGATGATTTAACGCAACATGGATACGTCGAGAAAGTGAACGTGCCAAAAAAATCCATGGATGGCCAAATGGAACGATGTTTCAGGCTTGTGAAGATGTATGTGAAAGGCAGTAACAACAATAATGGTAGGTGTTATCCATATTTTGAAATTTAATTTGTTTTGTTATCTTATCTAATTAATCAAATTCTTAGACAAACGTAGGAATAAATCCTCCACCGTAAATACACCAGAATCCATGACTTCTCCTACAGAGTCTAATGAAAAGCAATTGCAATCTGGTATTTTTGTAGACTTGCCTCTAGATTATCAAGTGTATCGTTTAATTCAAATGTCTGGTGAACGAGGAATAACTGCTGGAGTATGTTTCTCAATAATTATCACCATTTTAATTAATATTTTTCATATTTCTCATTTAATTTGCGTTTTTATTTAAGGATCTTCAATGTATGCTTCGTAATATAAATGATCGTGTCCTAAACAAGTCATTAACTGGGCTTATCATTGATTTGCCTCCTGGGTTAAAACGTTTTAATATTAAGCGTGCTGTCGAGTGTAAAGGTCGAGAACGACATTATCGTTATTTTTCGAGCGAAAGTTACATGAAATTTGCCGCATCACATGGTTTAAATTTAGAGGATATAAATCAGGAGAATCCTGATGATGATCAGAGGTCAGAGTATACACATGACCCCCTATGGGGAATGGAACTATTGCAAGATGAAGAAGAAAAAAACGATGATTTCTTGGCTAGTTTGAGTACTAGAGAAAGACGTAGAAGAAAGAAGAATCGAGAAAGAGGAATTATTGAACCACCTAAATTGATTGCAACCGTACCAAAGAAACGAGGTCGACCAAGAAAGTATGATTCTGATGGAGAATTAATTTCCAAAAATGTGACTCAAAAAAGTGTTAAAGGAAAGCTAATTGTAAACGAAACATCTAATGATAAGAAGAAGCGCGGTCGTCCACGAAGGACTAAAAATAGGCCTGAAAAAAAGGCAAAGGTAGAAGAATCCGAGTCATTGGATGGCAACACAAATTTCGCACAAGAACAATTATCCATTCTTATTACTGAGGAAACGTCTGAAAACATAGAACCAACAAGTAACCAAAGTGAACCTATATCTTACGTTGAAGGTAACATAGATATCGATGGCCCTATTTCAGGCGAAGAATCTTCAAGAAATGTTGTATTACAGTCTAAAGGGAATAGTATTAAAGTACCGATCGATGATCCCAACATTTCAAACATTTATGGCTCGATTCTACAACCAAACTCCTCAAATCAGGAAGTTATTTTGGATGAAGATGTTGACATGATGGATATTAATGTCAATTTAGTAATTCAAAATGAAAATTTACAAAAGATTAACAAATTATCCATCAAACAAAGCATTGATACGGGTGCTGTAGAATCTGTCAGTGTGTATAATCAAGAGTCAAATGTAGAAAATTTAGCCCGACAATTGGAGTATGGTGAATCAAGAACTGACAATAATGCTTTCGAGTTGAGTATGGAATCGCCTATCAGCTCTGCCTCAACACGGATTATTGAAAGTTCATATGAAAAAACCTTACAAAATGTTAAGAAAATATCTAAATCTAAAAAAAAGGTCGTCCCTGTCGTTTCAATCACTGCATCATTTCGAGAAAAGATTATAGAAAAGCTCTTGGAAGAATTTAAAGTACTAGAATGTGGTGCAATGCTTATTGGTGTGTATCAAGATAAAGTTCGAGAATATTATAATGGTACAACTCCACATACAATTGATAAGAAGACTTTAACTCGCACTGGAAACGCAATGGAAAGAAAAGGACTGTTAAGACAATACAATGTAGTATTGCCATCATTGAACGGTAAAGACCAAGTTAAACTTTTATTCCTTCATCCTGATTTGACACCCGATGATCCCAAGGTGAAGGAATATGTCACTAAATTACAAGACAAGGCTTTACTTGTTGGTAGATCTTATAGGGCCACTAAAATTGAGGAGATTGATATTGAAGTAGAGCCACTTTCTGAGCTACAGAAACGTATGGCTGCTGAGGCAGCTGCTAACAATTCTGTCAATCCTCTAAGCACTTCACTTACTTCAATTCCACAACCCACCATCTATGATAAGCTTATGTCCTCAATGCCAACATTGGATTCGGTTAATTCAAATGTTGAAAGCCTGCCTAATCTTAATGAGAAAATACCTAATGACATGTGTTGGTTACATTGCGCTCGTGGGTTTGGCTGGATCAATGCTAAGATGATTCGAGCAAAAATTTTGCATCAATATTTTTTCAACAAAATCAATGACGCAGGCCCAGATGATCCTTGTATTATGAAGGAAAATAGAATTTTCCAGACAGCAATCCTTCTCAGAGATCTTCCCCTTGATTTATATCTTAAGCTTGTTGGACAATTTTCACCAAGTACAAAATTATCTGAATATATAAAATCAGGAGAAAATATGTTGCGAAGCGTCATTGATCTCCCAAGTGACCTTAGGTTGGAAATCTTTACTGGAAATTATAAATTCCGACAAAACCTTAAAAGGTTGATTGACATTCTCGTGGCACTAAAATTAATTAAAAAACTTAAACGTACATTTGATGAAAGAGGGAATCCAATTTTAAATATGAAAAGGGCTTTTGTTCCAGATGATGTACTTGAAGTTGATTCAACAAGAACATCGGTATACGATAGTCAACCACAAAATCTTTTAGCGCCTGCTTACCAACTAATGCGTGATGTTCCAATGATGGATTTTTCTGTTCCCGGACCGGATAGACCTATTATTAGAGAGTATTTGCTTGATACTATCGAGGATGTTTCGGTTTATTGGAGTGAGTTACAATACGTAGCTCAGAAAAAATTTTCCGAATCAACGTATAAGAGTGAAGAAGAAAATGCTAATTCGGATTCGGACCAAGTGGATAGTGAGGAAGAGAATATGCCTGTGCGCAGAAAGAAAAGATCCTCTAGTGATATTGATGATCCTTTGCGATTTATAACTGTTGCACGTAATTGGAATTCTGGATTTCCACTTAATGTCAAGCAGAAGAAGCAGCTTGAGCTCTATGTTGATCGAAGAAAATCAATGACTCCTTATGAGGATGAGAATAAATGTAGACAGATTGCTCAAGAGATTGGTCTTCCGTTTCAAAAAGTTCGTGTTTATTTCAAGAGAATTGAGGATAGTTTTGAAGTAAAAAGCAAAGAATCTAACGTGGCTAAGCAGAAGGAAAGGCGTCGCAAAGTTGCCGAAAGATCGAAAAACTTTGCTGGGGTCGTTTCTTCTGCCAAAGGAGAACCTTCGTTCAAGAGGAAGAAAAGAGAAAATATGGTTCACAAAGTGTTAAGAAAATCACAGAATGAATCTGAAGGAAGTCTTGGTAATAATTCTGGACGTAAAAGTAACCGTGAAAAATTCAAGCAAAAGGAAATGGAAAAAATTCATGGTCTTGTTGAAGAGGAGAACCTGCCAGTTATCAATGATGAAGGTATGGAATTTATTATATACATGTCTTTAGTCGATTAATTTATTGTTATCTATAATTCGTCAATTATGATTAGAGAGGTTTGAGACTCAATATGAACAATATTCCCAACGACAACGTCCAATCTGGAGTAAAGAAGATGATGAATTGCTTTTCTACGCCTATATTATTATCAAACATCGTTCAACCAAATATAGGTTCTTTTGGAGTCCTGTTACCAAAGTGTTACCACATAAATCCAGGGAGATGTGCCGGCGTAGATTTAATGTATTGACGAAAAATTCAGCTTTCCAAGCGCGAGTTTCTAATTTTTTGTCATTTTGGAAAGATATTTATAATGATGCGATAAAGAAAGGTGACTTAAAGGAAGAGGAAGAAAAACAAATGAAAGATTTTGATATACTTGGGCAAATGGAATACTTTAAGAAAACTGTGGAAGAAAAGCCAAAGTAAATATTACTTTTAAGCATAGTATTTTTTTTTTAAAAATATTTAGGATTTGTAATTAATACATTTAAAATTTTTATAGCGTTACACGTCCCAAACCTGTAATTCCTCTTCCTCAAGATGTTAAAACATTACAAGAGCACTTTTTTGTAACTTATGCCTCACCAAATAGACATAATCGGGACTTGTACTTTGAAGATAAACTTGGTGGATGTTCATTAAGGCAAAAGATGAAAAAATTGTATGCGTATTCTCTTACACACAGGATTCCATATAATAATGTCGATTATGCGATAATTGAGCTTAACAATGAAAAACAAATTAAACTTGAATGTATTCAAGCATTGATCAAGGTTTATATCATCATCATCATCGTCAGATTTATGTTCTTCATTTTTAATTATTAATTAAACCTGATAAAATAATAGATGATCCTCATGACTCCTGAAGATCAGTATGATCCTACACATGCGTTTTCGATTCTAAATCGTTATGAACCTTATGTTAAAGAGGCAATAGATTTAGTTAAAGAGACCGGTGCTATAGTTAAAGTTAAAGGAGGGAATGATAGAAGAATCCCTGGAAGGGGTTTTCACGTTTCTGACAAGTAAATTTAATATCATTTGGATACTTTTAGATTAATATAATTCAAATTTCACTAACAATTGAATGTATTTAGGTTCCTATCAGTAATTTCAGGAAAATTGCCAGATAGAATGTTTTCACAAGCTGTTAACTTCTACAAGAAATTTAAAGATGCCACAAAATTTGATCAATTTGCAAGTAGTGGAGATGTGGCTTGTATTTTGGATTTATTATCTGCTGGAATGGTAGCGAATTTTTTCCTTTCAATGTGAATTTTTTAGTATACCTAAGAATCGATTAATAATATGCATCATCCATTTTAGGTTTCATTATCATTTGCTAATTCAGATGCACCCATACTTACAAAGAATATAGTACCAAACCATCGTAGTAGAAAAATTGGTCAGCATCAATGTTTACTTGGTTTAATTTTTAAATTTTTTTTTAAATTTTTTCTCATTATTTAAACAAATATCATTTTTAGATGTCGTAAATCTTAATTTTGACATTTTGTTGACGCCGAAGATTAATAACTCGAATAAATACAGTGATTCTAGCAATAGTGAATATGACAAAGATAATGAGTCATCTTACAGCGTTCGTGGTCAAAAGAGAAAACGCGAAGAAAATACGACACGAGAAGAAAGCACCTCGACTTTCAAAAAAGGACGCTTTGACAAAAAGCCTTATTTAAACACTCGAAAGGAAGCTTCTAAAACACTTAAAAAGCTGTTAGAAGAATTAGATCAAGAATTTAAAGGTGACGTAAAAGATGTTTATTATATAATTGAGAATCGTGGTAAAGTTGGTATACCCCTTGTTTCATTGAAGGTAATGATATTTTATTATTAAAGAATGGTTATTATTTTTTTTTTTTATTTGTATTCACATTATCATTTCTTTTTTAGAAATATCCGAAATTATCGGAAGAAAAGTTACTGCGTTGTGTTAATATACTGGAATTTAATGTTCCAAGTTTAATATTGAAAGTTGGTTATAGTAATAGTCGATATATCTCAGGCATTTATTTGAAAGAATGGTTGGTTAATACGACGCCTACCGTTAAGAGGCCGCCTACAATAGATGAAGTGTTCATGGACGAGAATCCTTCTAATTACAAAGTATGGTCATCAGTCGAATCATTTGGACCACCAAGAATGTGGTATGATATCAAAGGAAACTTTATTGAATCAGTATTCCGAGGATGTCTTGAAGCCGTATTGGGATTAATTTTGCAAAAGCCTGGAATATGCGAGGTAAAATGTAATTTATATCTTGCGTGGTATATGGAATATAAAGATAAATTAATAAAATCTGATTCAATTTAGGCTAACATTTATCGAAAACTTTCGTTGGTCATGTCACGATGTGAAGTTCAAGATGTTTTGGAAGAATTGTTGGATCGTAAAGGTATCAGAAAAAAATCATATGTTCAACCTTCCAAAGTTACTTTGTTTTCAAAACCGGCCGAATTTAAAGAATGTGGTAAGTTCAATTTTTATATTGATGATACCTTTTGAACAATGATAATTAACTAATTCATTCTCATTTATAGGCATCAATTCTCTTGATTCCAATAAGATCTCTTATTATTGGGCAAATGAAAATTACTACTTAAAATGCGTTCCTGAAATTATTAATTAATTTGAAAGAGCAATGTTAATTATTTAGCAAATCATAATAGCAAGCATAATTATAATGGTAATAAAAAATATATTTATATATAATGTAAATTATAAAATCATTTTATTATTTCAATATGTTAAATTTTCTAAACCATGCTCATCCTCATCTAATTTCAGTAATGATTAATGAATTATGTTAAGCTTACTTGAACAATTATCACAGAGGAGCATTGGTAGCTCTTAAAAAAAATGTGTAAAAATAATTTTCATTAAAGTATTAACTATGACCTCTCGTAGTTTAAGGCAAATTGTAATTTCCTGGGAATATATGAGCGAGTCTTCCATTTGAATTTGTAAAATAAATAAATTTATATATCGTTATCTATTTTATCTAGAAATTCTTGAATGTATTCGGATATATCTCCGTTATGGTTAAGGCTATTTAGACAAATTAAATGTTCAGAATTTTTTTTTTCTCCACCTTTTTATTCTTCCCCCAAAAATGAGTTACTTATATAATCAAATCGTATTATTTGGTGATTCTATTACTCAGGTTTCTTTTTTTTTAAAAAATAAAAATTCACGATTTTTAGTACTAAACATAATAAAGAAAAATTTGTTTACAAATGTTTTAGTTTAGCCATAATACGGATAATAAAGGATGGGGTGCCGCGCTTCAGAATTTATATGTCAGAAAATTGGACGTTTTAAATCGAGGCTTTTCAGGTAATTTTCATTAATTCATAAATTGAAATCTCGTGCATTTAAATTTTAAATACAAAAAATCAATTATTATTTCTTTTAGGTTATAACACTGAAAATGCCAAGAAATTACTGCTTCATATATTACCAAAGAAAAACAATTCGATAAAAAGCCCAAAAATATATTTATTTACTATATTTTTTGGAGCGAATGATGCAGCCATTTCACCATCAAATCAATATGTTCCCCTTGTTAAATATAAAGAAAATCTTAGACAAATGATTAAAATCATTAAGGATTCCGATTCACCTTATTATTCTCCTGATACAAGAATTTTACTTATAGCTCCTCCTCCATTATTTGAAAAAGATTGGGAAAAATTTCAAGAACGTGAAGGCAAGATATTACCTAGGAAATTAGAAACTACTGCTAAATATGCTCAAACTTGTGTTGATTTAGCAAATGAACTAAATATTCCCGTACTAAATGCTTGGAAATTGTTTATGGATAAATCAACTAAAACATTAACTGAAAATAATCACTCTTTAAGTGATTTCTTCGTTGATGGGTTACATCTATCCAATCTTGGAAATGAAGTAAGTAAAGTATTTTCAAAATCATTTTATGTTCGCGTATCTTATTAAAATATTAAAAATTTATTATCAGACTTTATTTAATGGATTGTTGGAAACGATTCGAAAGAACTGGCCGGAATTGGATCCCGATAATTTGAAAAATATTACAACTTTATGGAATGATTTGGATTACAATGATCCTGAAATATTTGATTCTTTTGAATCGAATATCATCAATCAACTTGAATAAAGAAGAAAAAAAAAATTAATAAATAAAATAAAAATAAAAAATAATTTTTTTTTTCATATTTCAAAACATGGATTGGTAAAAATTTTTCTAAATGATGTCAAAGTGGATCTTGGCGCAGTAACTTGTGTCGGTGTATAAATTTTCGTGCTAAATTTACACCTTTCCTCTTGATCAAAAATTTTGTTATAAATAATGTCAAACCATCGTTTATTAACTTTTGAAGAATTGAACGAAAAATTATCTTCGAATAAACAATCGTTTCCTATAGATCCTGCTATCAAAGAAATTTTTAAAAGAGATGATCAAAGTCTCGATGATTTGGTACAATGGATTAAAGAAGAAAGTGAAATTCATCAACCAATTTTTTCTTGTGATTCATCACCAATTTTCATATCCTTTTGAAATTTATAAAGATGTGATGATGATTAGTGAACGTATATTATCCTTAATAGTGTTTACGTGACTAAGGATTATATTTCGAGAAAACGAAAACGAAAAAAAATCACGGATCAAACCTCAAAAAGGTCAAAAGGGGAAAATGAGGCAACGATAAGTAAGTATTTTCTTTTTTTTATATATATATATATTTCGTGAGCATATCATATTATAGTAAATTCTATATGAATGTGAAATTAAAACCAATCGAAAAGAAGACAATGTTGTCGACACCACCTCGAAAGGATCAGATGAGGATCACGTGAAATGGTCTTTAAATCGTGAATTACTTCAAACCTTAAAAAGTTCACTTGAACAAATTACAAAATTTGGCAAGGAATCTGATATCAAAGAATTTTTGTCCAAATTCAATAATTTAATTCGACTTCCACATGTTCAGGCAAGGATCCCCTTTTATGTTTAAAAATCAAAGTCAAACTAATTAAGATTAATCGATTTTATTTATCGTTATAGCTTCACAAATATTTTGAAGAATTAAATATTTCTCAGATCGATGACAAATTTTTAGAAATTTTGTGTAATGACATAGTACAATGTGAGGATATCACGTATCAGAACTTTGTTGTCTTCTTCAAGTTTACCTTCTTGGAAAAAGTATTTAATTGATTTATCTATTTTACATATTTTTTTATTTTTTACATTTTAAGACTACTAAGAATTTTGATGTGTAGGTACGTTTAATCACATCGAAACCTTCACGTGAATTGCTATCTATCCTTTCAAAAATTGCAAAGGTAAAGAGCAAACCAATTATTTATGGACTCTTATTACCCTTAATCCAAGAACCTCAAGAGATAGCCCGACCTCAATTGGAAGTCATTACTCGAACGATTAATGGAGGATTGAGTGAAGATTCCATTGTATCTTTAATAACGTAAGATATATTACTATAATTTTTCAGGTTTACGATCATTAACTCAACTCATTATGTTTATAAACGAAAAAAAAAAAATTTCTAGAGAATTATCCTCTGATGTCCAAATGCTTAGTGAGCTCATGGATGAAACTCTTCCTAAACATCTTAAAAATTGGGATGATTCAATGATTGAAATATTATTTTCGATCTTTAGTCAAAAATTTCGAATTGAAGATCCAAATATTTTTAAGAGGTTTTTATATCATTTAAGAGTTAATATTGAACTTCGACCTAATAATCAGAAATTAGGTCAGATATTATTATTACTTGTTACTAAACATTCTGAAAGTATTATGGATCATTTAGAAGAAGTAAAAGTTGCTGCAGAAAAGTCAACGGCATTTATGAAAAAGAGCGTTCTTGGAAAGATAGATTCATTAATAAAGAGACGTGTTTCCCCAAAATAACGGAGAAGATATTTGGATAGATTATGAATTCTAGTAACCCATTATCATAAAACTTTGCTTATGATTTCATAATCATAGTCTTTAGCTTCTTCTGGTAATAAAACTTTACTTGGTGAAATTTCATCGATTTGATAACTACAAAGAGAAAATAAAATAAAATTTTTTTTTTTCAAGAAATCGAACAATACATTTTAAATAAAACAAATACCCAAGGTGATTTAAATAAAAATCAATTGCGGTTTTATTATTTTTATTTTCTTTTATATCTTTTATATATTTATATATAAAAAAAAGATATCAAAAATTTGGTTATCGAGTAATCATTCTTAAAATAAATTATATACATACCAATTGCGGTTAGTATAAGTTTTTTCATTTTCCAATGTCTTCCGATTTCTTCCAATGTTCTCATTAAAAATGTGCCCAGACCTTTGTTTCTCGCAATTTCAGATAATTGAATTTCATAACTATTGGTGTAAAAAAAATACCTACACTTTAGCAAATTACTCAAAAATAATCACAAGAAATTTTAAACATGTACCAATAGATAACTTCAATTTCTTCATCATCATCTGCCATAGTTTCTTCCCAACTGAATTGAAACATAACAAATCCAATTGGCTTGCCATTATTTAATGCGATTAAATATCTACAATTTTGATCGTTCATTTCTTTACGTTTCTCTTTCTCATTCCATCCTAAATTTGAATTTTCATATCTTGTAAAAGAGAGAGATTCAACATTTTTTTTTTTTTAAATAAAATAAAGTGATTTTATTTATAACCGTAAACATACGTCTTTTTCATATTTAATTTCAATAATTCAAAGGTCCATTCTTTTAATTCGGTAGATAATTTTTCAATTGAATAATATTCAATTTCTATAATCATGCTTCAAAACAAAAATAAATAAACTTATAAAGAAATAATACGTTTAAAAAAAAATATACATTTATTTATATATTATTTACTCAGCGTTATGATATTTAATTGAAGGACCCAGGAAATCAACAATATTATTTGCCTTCGATTATGTTACACGATATTTTCGCGAGAATTGATATCCATTCATATTTCATTTATTAAAAAAAAACCAATTTGGGCAAAAAAGCTTGTAATGAAAAACACACCTCATTCGCTATTTTAACTAGGTTTTGAGTATTCGCTTGAGGGTTCATATTTATTTGAAGGATTTCGCGAAACTATGGAATCTTTACTCTTATATAGACATATTCGACTAAGCCACACCCCCAATAAGGTCAAAACACGATTTTTCAATCTCAACATACTAGACACGTCCTTGTTTTGATTCATGAAGCTTCGAAGGAAATGTCTTCGATTATGGATATCAAAGCAAATTCAGCTCCAAAGATTCCTTCTAAAGCTTCTCTGATTTGGTCTCCTATTGCTGCCATTAAGTCCAGTGGTTCAGGTGGTGGAGTTCCAGCGGTTGAATCATATAAACTATTAGCAGAGGGGATTGGTGAGGCAAGTATTTGGTGTAATAGTTGTCTGTCTCTTTTTTGTTCTGTGATTTGCGAGGTTTATCAAATTGGAGTACTTTGATGAAAAAGATCTACAATGTAGTAGTTTTTTCCGGAAAATACCTTCTACATAGCCTTATTGTAGATAAAAACGTCGTTTTACTTTGTAAAAGCATCAATTAAACGCGAATCTGGCGAGAAATTTTAATTTCAGTTGGAGTTAATTAATAAATTCTGATTTACCCGTCTTAATTTTTTCTATTTTATTTTTTTAATTTACTAAATTATAAAAGGTTCATTACTAATACTTCGCCACAATTATGTACATTTTTAATTATAAAATATTTTATTAAAATCATATAATAATAATAATAATAAAATCAAATAAAAACAATTACTGATTTTTCAATAGATTGCTCGCATAGATCGAAAGTTATGACCCGTCGTGTTCGTCCTAAACTGAAGTAAAACAATAGGGTTTTTTACTAATTTAGTAATCGCTAAGGGAGAGGAGGTCACTCAAGACAGGTGTTTCTCAGTTTTTGCAAGTATGATAATACGAATCTTCTCTACCCTATTTAGGAGACTGTCAGCACCACCATACACGGCTTGGAGGCCGCACACCCCGCATATTACTGTTCATTCACCTTACAATGAAACAAATACTAAGGAGTAACATAACTCACCTTTCGTTTACTTCGTTATTTCTAAACAATATTTTAGCTTCTTTCATTTCTCAGACGTAAGTAAATAAATAAAAAAATATTAAAAGTTTATTTTTTTATTTTTTTTGGTCAAAAAAAAGGTATAAATATAATTTTACGTACACGATGACGCGGATGATGAGTCATAACAATAAGTCACGAGAAATAGTGTATGTAACATTCCGGGTTAGGGTTTTTCCTGAACCATTTAATTTTTAATTGTTACATAGAAAATTTGCTTTTAATAAAGGATTTTTTTTTTTATCAAACTTCTTTTATCTCTCAATCTCTCTATTAAAGATAATGTTTGTAATAATTGGAAAAAGATGACCATCTTCGTAAATATCCAGCCTCTTAGTGGAAAAGATATCATCAACTTGGATTGGAATAGACAATAAATTTTATTATTTATTTATTTCTAATTCTAAAAGAAAAGAGAATGGACATCTTGTTCTTTTTGATAACTGTTATTCATAATCAAAATTCCAATTTTTTATTGTATAATTTCATTGAATAAATTTTTTTCGCGATAGTAAATGTGAATGAATGGAATTTTATTAATGTCGGAGAAATTTTACTTTTGATCACGTCTAGTTACGATTTATATACAAATTCTTCAGTCAAATTTTAAATAGAATTTCTCGTAAAAGTTCTATAACGTGAATGTATTATCGGCATTTCATATCCTGGAAGTATTTTAATTTTGATAGTTTTTAACAACATATTTTGGAAGAGCGCGACCCTATGTTTGATCGTACGTTGAACTTTAATTAATTGCGTTACAAGTATTAATTTATCTCTAATTCAATGTTAAATGGACTTTCTTCGAAGGTCAAAAATTTTACTGCGCTAACAAAGCATGTGCCGACGATTAGATTTCTCGGCGAATATAAGAATAGAAAAATGTCTGAGACGCTTGATTGATAAAGTTCTTCTAGAATCTACCAAACTTTAACATACCTTTTGTTTTCAGATATATTCTCGTGTAGAAACTTTTACAATTTAGATCATGCGATATTCTTTCACTCTGCACAAAAATCTGAATTTTACAAAAACTGTAGATGTATACTATGTACTTCATTGAAATAAGAAAAGCAAAGCCAAGTTGAGAAAACATCACTTATTCTCGATGTGAACAATGGTACTGAACGATAAACGGTGACTAAGAATTGGCTTAAGTTTGGATAATTCGATGTAAAATCGCTAGGGTTAACTTCAATTTTCACAGGATTTGGATTGCCTTCTAATAAAACCCAAATCGATATTAAGGGAGTGGGATGATATTTTTATTGACTCAACTTTATAAACTTTAGAAACATAAATACTATTCTGCTAAAAACGTTGTAAAGGGAAAATTTTGGGGGCAGTGTATCATTTATTAATACATTTACAGGAGTATAATATTCAGAAATTACGCTTTATTTACTTCTATCAATCACTACATCAAATATCACAAATATCAAGTAATCCGATATTTTGATATATAGTAAAAAAAATTTTCTTGGTAGAAGTTAAAACATTTGGAAACGATCCTATGATGATATGATTTTGAAAAGTATTCTACATATATAAAATCATAAGAGTGGGAGGAGGGGAGTATAAAGGGAAGAAGTTGGAAGAGTGGGAAATAGAATTGATGGAGGGAAACTTGAGCGAAGTAAAGCAGGCGACGTTGGAAAATCGAATGGACAGATTGTACAAAGAAAAAGAAGTGTTGACGAAGAAGGTTCTGGATGCATTACTAACATTTAAGAAAGAAGGTAATGAACAAATTGTGTAAAAAAATATACGAAAAATTATAGAATAGATTTGATTTATGAATAATTTTCAGTTATTTGAGATTATTTATTATATTTTTCTAACAAATAATTCACATCATACTTTGTACATATTCATACAAAACGTCGTCTTTCATTTCTTGAACATGAGATAGAAAGATTAAAGAAATCTAGAAGTGAAAACTCGCATATTGGAACAATAATTTTAAATGATGAAGAGGCCCTAAATAAAGAAAAAAGTATTTAAAGGAATTGAAGGAATTGATTCCATTAAGAAATGTTGAATAAATTAACACATTCATATATCATTAAATGATAAGATTCAAGATCATCATCAAAAGTGTGACCAGTTGGTGAAATGGATTCAGCAAGTAGATATTGGTTTTCAATATGCACACTCACAAGGAACATTGTATTTTATTTATCTGGTTGGTATTATTACAAAAAAAGAAATTTCCTTGGGATAATAGCTTTCATGTTTATAATATTAAGCATATGTACATGCATTATAGGTGGATTGATCTTGTAAAAATTTTAAATATTACAAGTTTAGGTATAATGTATATGGATTAGTGGATAATATGCATAAAAAATTATTTTTAAATAAGGAATATGTTAAACCACTTTTTTAATATATTTAGAATTAATTACAAATATATAATCTAGCAAAATGTTTTATTTCATTAAATTATGTGTTAATAATGAAATCTAAGCAAGGAATTTCCAATAGCATTTTGATTGTAATTAATTTTGTTGAAATACTAATATTAGTTCTAAAAATCAGTAATTGCTTTTTTAGCATACCTGTACAGTCGTCCCCCTTTATAGTCACACCCTTTGGGACCAAAAATAAAAAGTGTGATTATAATAAAAAGTTACTATAC